TAAAGACAAAATTTAATTATTTAAGTATGGTAGCGATTTTAATCCTGATTTAAGTGGAAAAAAATCAACACTGCTTTAACAACTCCACAGTTACAACACCTCTGGAATGCATCCTTTAGAACTCCTTCAGGATTTTCTGTGCTTGACAGATTTATGGCTTTCAGTAGTGGTTTGTGTTTTTTAAAGCTGAAAATGTCTGTATCCTGATGAACCTTATTTGTTCCTTAATTTGGAATAATCTCCTAATTGTCAGAGTGCTCTTTTCAGACATGTACCAAACTTATTCTTGGAAACAAAAAGTTCATTTTATTTGCCTACGTTTACTCCTCTTTGGAGCATCCTTTTGTCTAGCTAAGTAGTCAACACATCCAACTATCAAGCAAAGTTCAGGGGGATCATTATGTCTGAGGAAGGCACAGCTACTGCTACTACAAGATAAAACTGAAATATTTTCTTTGCAAAGAAATCATGTCTTTCTCTGTGATTTGAAAAGAGAGTGATAAACATCAATGTTCTATCCTGACACTGAAAGTAATTTTTCCAGTGGCAAAACTTCAAGAGAGTGAATGGTCTTTCTGGCTTAAAAAAAAGCTTCAAGACTGAATGGCATTAGGTTTGCCCTCCTAAAGTAGATTGCAGTCAGCAAACTAATCCTCCTTACCAGGCAGGTAAGGGTACTGTTGCAAAAACAAACTAAATCAACCAACCATAAGAATATTTTCATGTTTTCACTAATGGCTTGGACAGTGGAAGGTAAAATTAGAAGTAGTACAGTATTTTTTCTTCCTCCCTCTCCCTACCTTTTCAAGGATGATGGATGTCCCGCAAGTCTAGAGGAGAACAACAATAAACAATATCCATTTACAGAAATGGAGAAGTTTTTTGCTTTTATCTCTAAAAATAACAAGTGGAATCTCAGGATGTGTTTCAGTGGCAAAGATTTTAATTATTTAGTGAACTCTTCTACATATGGATAGAATTCAGGACCTCAAAGTTGTATGGAGCTGCAATTGCTACTTTCTCCCAACATTTTGTTATAAATTTTGTGAAAGCAATGGAAAAATTAAGACCTTTTGTTAGAGAAATATTGTCTTGGAGAAATATCTGTTTGGGGCTTGAGTATCATTTTAAGAGCTGACACAGCAGCCCTTTTATTCCTTAAGACTTCTATAATGTTAATACAGTTTTTGAAAATGTCCTTTCCTCATTTCTTTGCAGAAAGCCTTCTGGATTTCCCTAGAAACTGCATATCAAGGACTCTTTATCTCATGAGAATATTTAGGAAGTACAAAGGCTAAAAAGGCCTCTGAGGATGGACAAGCCAAAACTTTCCTGTCTCTAGACTCTCTATAGGGTTAAAAGAAGAACAGGAGTACTTGTGGCACCTTAGAGACTAACAAATTTATTAGAGCATAAGCTTTCGTGTACTACAGCCCACTTCCACTGTAGTCCACGAAAGCTTA